TTAGATGGACATTGTTTCTACTCTTTTCTATTATAAGCACTAGTTTAGTGAGTATTAACATAATTCATATATGGTGAATAGCCCTATACACACTATATCTATCAAGTGAAAATAATATTTTCACTTAACTAAGAGGACAGATGCTATAACCAGACTCTGTTCTGTTCCCAGCTTCTGCTATTTACTAATTGTGGGAACTTGAGCAAATAACTTGACCTCACTTGTGCCCCAGTTTCTTTATCTGTTAAAATGGGGATTAAAAATACCTAATTCATAGGACTTTTATGAGAATTAAGTGGGTTAATACTTATTAAATATTTAAAACAGTGCTTGGCTCATAGTATTAGCATTTGTACATAGTGTACTATTAGTTCACACATAGTACATAGCATTTGTTACATATATCATGTTGCAAGTGTGTGAGTTCATCTGCAGAATTCGTAGAATTGCTGAGTCAAAATGTTAGGAACATTTATAATTTTGATAGGTATTGCTAAACTGTTTTCCAGATAACTGATTCCCAGTTTTCATTCCTGCCAGCAATGTATGAGAGCTTGCCAGTAGCCTTACATTCCTACAACAGTGTTTAGTTGACTTTCTAATCTTTACCAATCTAAGGTGAAAGTGATAGTCTCACTTGACATTTCAATGTGGTTAACCATCTTATATTGAAGAGTCCTTTTCTTTTCCTTGAATTGTCTATTGATATTCTTTATTTACCTTATGTCTACTGTCTGTTGCCCTTTCTCTTTTTAATTGGAAAGAACTCTTGCAAATATTTTTTTCCCTCTTTATCATCTTGACTTAGTTCTTTGTGTTTAGTCAACCTTTCGTTCTATGGCCTCTGGACTTCAGGTCACAGTTAAAGCTTTTCAAAACTGATAAAAATTCTCAGCTATTTAAAAATATTACTCTTTCCCTATATTTTCCTTATGGAATATCTATCAGAAGTCTCTTGTACCTTCTCTCACTTTATCCTACACATCCTGTGGACTTAAAAAATAGTAATTCCAGGGGCACGTGGTGACTGAGTTGGTTGAATGTCCGATTCTTGATTTCCGCTTGGCTTGTGATCTCAGGCTTGTGGGACTGAGCCTCACGTGGGATTCCGTGCAGGATGTGGGGCCTGTTTCTCCTGCCCCCCACCCCCAAAATAAATAAATAAATAAATAAAAAGATATATATATATATATTTTTTTTTTTTTTTAGAGATTTTATTTATTTATTTGACACAGAGAAAGAGACAGCAAGAGAGAGAACAGAAGCAGGGGAAGTGAGAGAGGAAGAAGCAGGCTTCCCACTGAGCAGAGAGCCCAATGTGGGGCTTGATCCCAGGACACTGGGATCATGACCTGAGCTGAAGGCAGCTGCTTAAGGACTGAGACACCCAGGCACCGCCAAAATAAATATTTTTTAAAAATGTTTAAAATAACAGTTTCCATGTCTTTGTTTCTTTGTGCTACAGTCTTGGTAACTGCATTGTTTTTTGATCATTATGTCTCTCTGTGTCTAACTGGCTTTTGGACTGATTAAGAGAATCCTTTTTGGGTTATATCATAGACATGTTCCTTCAGCAGTTTTGTATTTGCTTCTGTCAGGTGCTCTAGAGGTTTCTCTGGGATTGGACTAATTTTTACGTTTACTTCTCAGCTCAAGGGTTCCCAGAACATTTAGGTGTAGTATAAATTCAAATCCTATACCAACTCAGTACTGTGGTTTATGAATTTTTGGGAAAGACTTGTCCAGCCCACTCCTGTATATCCACCTAGAGCCCAGACCAACCTTAAAGATGTTTCATTGTCTTATCCCTCCTCCTGTATAGTCCTTTGAGGGACCAGCTTTATGCACTGAAATATATTTTATTATATACATATTGCTTCTAACTTTGTAAGTTAAGACATAAATTACTGGATTTTGAGAATCCAGTGAGGCTTACCCAGAATAACTCTAGGTAGTTACACGAGCTTAGGTGTGTACCTCTGCTCTTTGTATCTGGCTCCTGAACAAATCCTTTACTTTGTACACATGAATAATGCATTTAAATTTTTTGTTACATTTTATCCAGCATCTGGTGTTTTCAAGTTATCTAGCTAGACATAATGTCTGAACTTGACATGTTTATAATATATTTAATAAATGAAGTTCTTATTCTTTTAGCTAGGATTAGAGATTTTGAAGCTTAGAGTCATCTGGAAGTAAACATACTAAAATAATCATTTGTTATTGCACTACACAAGTGCAATTATTTAAGTTTTAAATATTATTTAAGTTTTGATATATTCCTTTGAATTGACTGATTTTATCTGTTAATTCTTATGTCGGGGGCTTAACCCTTGGTACCCCTTTTTCAAAAAGGTGAATGTGGTGACTTGGGAATATTTAAAATGCCAGTTTGTCCACCAAGTTTCTTTGTTTGATTTTCTTTCAGCCAGCAAATACTGCAAAATGTTAGTTGAAGAAGAAGGATTGCAGCTTTTGTGTGACATCCAGGACCACAGTAAGGCAGACCCCCAAACACAGCAGATTGCAACCTCCATTCTAGATGACTTCAGAATGCATTTCATGAACTATCAGAGACCCCCTCTGTGTTGAATGCCCTTCTTAACCTGTGGGGCTTCAGAGGTGCTCTCTGTTCTCAGTGTCAGGACTTCTGCCTTGCCAGCAATTGAATGTTGGAACCAGTTGTCATTGGAGTTTGTGAGTTGGCTGCCTCACTGGCCTTTTATTGTTGATTTTCTGTAGACTACAGAAAGGTTGGATTTGAATGACAGCCGCAATCCCAAATCAAGTTGGAATCATTCTGCAAACACCCCTTCAGTAGTTTTGAAAAGTCAAGTCTTGGACTCTGTGGGAAGATCTATGAGCTTGTGTTGCAATAGCACTGCCAGTTACTTTTCCTAACCCTGGCCAGTTTCTTAACTCTGGGAGTTTGTCAGAGGAAGGGGAAAAGAAAGACCTATAGGGAGACCTTGGTATTTATGTTAAATTTCATGTTTGAAAGAGTATCCTGAGTTACTATTCCTACTTATGTGAGGCTAAGAGAAAAGAAGTATGTAAAAAAGTTCTGGAAAATACATGCTTACTGGAGGCAGAATTTCCATTGGAGGGGAGGAATAAGGAGGGGGGGGAATTTTTTTTAAAAGAAATACCCAGGGTGCCTGGGTGTGGCTCAGTTGCTAAGCATTTGCCTTTGGCTCAGGTCATGATCCCAAGGTCCTGGGATCAAGCCCCGCATCGGGCTCTCTGCTCTGCGGGAAACCTGCTTCTCCCTCTCCCTCTCCCCCTGCTTATGTTCCCTCCCTTCGATGTGTCTCTCTCTGTCAAATTAAAAAAAAATAATAATAATAAATAAAATAAATACCAAAGTATCTTCCACTTATGGGTGTAGAGAGAAGAAAAAAAAATTTTTTTTTTTTTTTTAACTAGTTTTGGATATTCTGCCTCTGGCCTTTCTTCCTCCAACTTTACACATTCGATTGAGTGAACGTGACATTCTGTGTAGGTGGGTGTGTTGGTGGAAAATAGTAGAACTTAGGAGTTCTAGTAGAGTGTTTAGGTGAAGACTGTATGGGGACTGTAAATCTTAATCTTGTCAAGTTTTGATTTTGTGGGACTGTGACCAACCCAAGAGGAAGAGGAAGCCAAAAAAAATACTTTGCTATAGATTTCAAGAGTGCTCTTGCCTAGCATGGAGGCAAGAAAAATAGGGGCTTTTAAGAACCAACCTCAGCTGCAGGGCACACTACCAGAAGCTTCTGTTTTTGTCCTTTGCAAACCTCTGTGGAACAGAGTATGAATTCCTTCCTTATTACTGACAGCTAATGAAATGGGTCTTGCCATTCATCTGTCCAAAAAACAAAAGTAAATTCTTTTATGATGAGTAGTATTTTTCATACTAGGTATTTGTGCTTTTAGCTGACTGGACTCTTAACTGGAGTACTGTATACCATCTTTTGGAATCAAATGAGGCTTATCCTTATTCTGAATCATATTCCAAATTCTTGCTCACCAGCATCCCACTTGATAAGGGGAATTTGTGACCTGTTTCTTCCTACAGTTCTGACACTGCATTGTATTTTCTCTTATTCTCTGTTCTGCTTAATTCCAAAAGGCTGTCTTCATTTCCTGAACTGGGTTCTAGTACTTTAGAACATTCTGTTACCAGATACTAGCTCTTGCTAATGTGAGGATGATGTAGGAATTAGTGCCTGTTTAGGCATCCCTCTAAGTTTTATTTCATTCACAGCAATCCTCTGGGATAGATAAATTGTATTCTTCCCATTTAACAGATGAGAAAAAGGATGTTCAGTGAGTTGGTTACTGTCCAGAGTGGTTACACCTAGTGCATAGTTCCAGCTAATATGGTTCGTTCTGATTTTATGACCTGGGCTCTACAGTGTTACTGTTCCTTCCAGGAACACAGGGTTGGGCACACTTGTATTTAGCAGCATAACAACAGTGTTACTGGTATATATCTGTGCCCTTGGCTTAGTGTCTCTAGGCCAGGCCTAGGCTGGGGAAGCTCAGATGAATTAAAAAATGACCGTAAGGCCAAAGCTTAAGATGCAGCCTTTTCTTCTCCTACCTTGGTACAACAGGAAGGCTAGCTAGTGTGCATGTGTTTATTAGCCTCCATCATTTCTAAGTGTGTTATCCTCCAGCTCACCTTCACTCTTGCTGTTCCCCCTCAGCCTTCCACTCCTTTCCACAATGCCTGTTGAGCCTTCATGCTTCACTCCACTATTACCTGCCCATTTCCTGACCCTCCACTCTCTCCCTCAGACTTAACTGCTCGCTTCTCAGTGCTCCTAAAGGCTATGTACCACAGCCATCAAAGATTGCCTGGCAGTCTATATAGTTCACAAAAGGTTTTCCTAGTGATAATTTCATTTGGTTCTCATAAGAACACTGTACATTAATAATAACTCCGTTTATTGAAGGCACAGTTCACTTTCTTTCACAAGCACTCTTCTTTTTTCTTTTCTTTCCCCTTCCTTCCTTCCCTCCCTCCCTTCCTTTCTTTCCTTCCTTCTTTCTTTCCTCCTCACAGCATTTTTGTATTGCAGATAAGGCAGCTAAGGCACATAACGAATGGCAGTCTGATTCCTGACGCCTGTTCGGCTACTGCCAGGGTTTGTGTAGTATCTCTATTGTACAGAAGAAGAAACTGGAGCCTTCTTAGAACCTTTTGCCATCTCTGGTGAGCACCTAATAACTGAGAGCCAGAGGTCAGGCCTGAAAGCCAACAGGAAAAAGGCACCGAGTGGTCTGTTTTAATCCTTAGTTTGCCATTTGCATAGGGAGGGACAGATAGGCTCCAAAGCCAATTTGACCTAGCGATTATCTAGTCAGGATGAGGAATTATGAAGGCAGCTGTAGGCAGCATGGGCAGTACCTTGGTATGGAACACCATTCCAGTTGTTTTATATCTATCTTTGTCCTTGTGAGGAGACTGAAGCCTGGAGAGGTGAAATGATGAACAGTCACCCTGCAAATTTTCCTTCTGGATCCTGCCCTGGAAGCAGGCATCTCCCATACTTAGAGTTAAATGGGAGTCACTTGCCAACAAATCTGGGGGGCCGCTTCTCCCTGAAGGCTGCCATGCCCTCCAGGCGGTCCTGGGTGGGGATGTTCTGAAACAAGACAGAGTATTAATTTTGGGTGGAGCTGCAGGAACAGAGGCCAATAAAGACTTGCTCAAACTCGTCTACCTCATGACAAGGTCAGAGTCCCAATTCTTTCCATTGTCTCTTGGACAATGAAAATTGTCCTCTGAGGTAATGCCTCAGTGGCTCCTTGGTCTCCTGGGGAAGGTAGGCTATATCTCTAGCATCTGTGGCCTATCCCATTAGTCTCTTGCCCACTGCTTACATGCCTCTAGAGAGCTCTGATCGTCTGCGGCCATCTGACATGCAGCTATTTAGTAGAGAAAAACAGTTAAGTTTTTCAGTAAGAAATCTAGCTTTGAGTTCTGCAAGTTCCAGGACTTTTTGTTTAAGAGCATTCTGGATATTTGTTAACCTGGAGATTTTTGACTCACCCAGGAATCCAGGGCTAAGTAAGCCACAGGTCACCACCACCCCCACCACCCCTTCCTCCCTCACCCCCACTGAACACACACAGCCTGCAGGTTATAACCAAGGCCTTGACATCCTGACTCCAGCCTAGCCTCTGTAGCAACCACTGGTACAGAGAGTGGAAGTGGTGGTTTGTCAGGTACCTACCTGTGTGCTCTGTGATTCTGGGGGCAGAGTATACACTATTGGATGGCCTAGGAAACAGTCCTAGAGAGAAGCAGTGTGGTTTCCCTAGGACTGTCCCAGGCTAATTGTAAGAGGGAGTGGTCCAGAGTCTAACTTTTCAAGTTGGGAGGAACCATTAAATTGGTCACATATTGTACAAGGCTCCCCACTCTGGCCTGGCCTCGGCTTGGAAGTGTGTGCGGACTGGCAGCAGTTACGTACCTGGGCATAGCATATGCCTTCAATGGCCATCCCTGATGCGATGTCCACCTGTGAGAAAGAAGTGGTGCCTGGATCAGCCTGACCTTAGTGCCAACCATCCTACTGCCTGCACCCCCATTCCCTACTGTTCATGGATTCCTCCAGCCAATTATTACTGAGCTTATTGTAGGCTAGTCCCTGTGAACAGAGATGATTATGATCAGGAATTTCCTACCTGGAGAGGGAACACCATTTGTAACTGATAGAAACAACGTTGGGACAAAGGGCTGGGGAGGACGGCACTTGGCCTAGAGAGCTAAGGAGAAGGGTAAGTGTGAGCTGTGTTTGCAACAGCCAGAGTTCCGTCTTCACATCTGGCTGCGCCCCCTGCCTCCTGTCCCTCCTGGGAAGGGAACTTCACAGGCTTTCGTTGCCCTGGGGAATAACATCCTAGGCTCTGACAACTTTCCAGCGTCTATTGCCCAATGCTTACTGTTACTACCACTTACAAGCACTGTTCTAAGAAAATCACCATATGTGTATAAATTCAACTGTTATCGCTACTATACAGCTGAGAAATCACGCATAGAAAGTAAAGGTCAGGGGCACTTGGGTGGCTCAGTTGGTTAGGCGGCTGCCTTCGGCTCGGGTCATGATCCTGGAGTCCCGGGATCAAGTCCCACATCAGGCTCCCAGCTCCATGGGGAGTCTGCTTCTTCCTCCGACCTTCTCCCCTCTCATGCTCTCTCTCACTCTCTAGAATAAATAAATAAGTTCTTTAAAAAGAAAAAAAAAGGGGGAAAAAAAAAAGGAAAGTAAAGGTCACAACAGTATATAGAAAAGCAGGTCTTTGAACCCAGGCCAGGCTAGCACCAGCGCCTTTGCGCCAATCTCTGTGCTGTGTAGTTTAACTTATTCCTCACTCCTGTTCAGTCAGGTTGCTTATTGATATACCTCTGTGCTTTTGCTCATACCTTTCTCTTTTTCTTGAACCCTCATCCTTCCCAAGGCCCGAATCTACAAAACCTCTTCAACCCAACAATACCCAGTAATAGCCACTAGCCACATCAATAATATCACAGCTCTCACCCTTTCAGGGTGTCTGCTTGATACCCCCTCTTCTTTTAAGTAACCTCTTCACCCATGTGGGGCCCAACCCCAAGATTAAGAGTTGTATGCCTTTTTTTAAGATTTTATTTATTTATTTGACAGATAGAGATCACAAGTAGGCAGAGAGGCAGGCAGAGAGAGAGAGAGAGGAGGAAGCAGGCTCCCTTTCGAGCAGAGAGCCAGATACGGGGCTCGATCTGAGGACCCTGGGATCATGACCCGAGCCGAAGGCAGAGAGGCTTTAACCCACTGAGTCACCCAGGCACCCCAAGAGTTGCATGCCTTATTGACGCAGCCACCCAGGCAACTCTGCTTGGTATCCTTAACCTTGTATTAGTGATTCTGTGTGTATCTGTCCTCTCTTTGCACCTTGGAGACAGTGACCATATTTAACTGATCTCTTTGTCCCAGTTCTCAGCTCAGGTCTAGATTGAGTGTATAATGAGTGAGTTGACGAGTAAGTCGTTTTAAGGATGAATTAGCTTGCATCTAAGACACCACCCTGAGTCCTATCCTTAAGGCCACCTTACCACCAGCACAAACCTAAGAACATGGCCTGGGAGCCACACAAGAGCTGTATTCTTATTATTCACTTGCTCTATGACCCTAGACAGGTCTTTTACCCTTTCTGGACCTCAATTACCTTCTGTCTAACGGAGAGAGATGAAGATAAAATGTAATTCAGAATGTCACATGGCCAAACTTTACATTTCATGGGTGGGTAAACTGAGGCACAGAGGGAGAGGTCAGACTCAATGTCTCTTAGAAGAGTCCAGTTTCTGAGTTTTTTCCAGCCGTGTTCTTAGTCTGCACTGGCACGAAAGCAATGCCTCCCAGCCACCCCACTGACTTTAGTGGACCCAAATCCTGACCCAGAACCTACTCACCTCCATTCCTCTATCAATGGCTACTTTGCCCAGCCGCACAGCAATGGGTGCCTAGGGAAAAGAAAAGAGAAAAGGCTAGGTTGAGGGAATTGGTGCTAACGGTTGGTGGGGGAGAGGGGTTTAGAAGAAAGAGAGGGACATAGCTTCATGGTGGGGAGTCATCAACAGGGAGATCAGTCTGAGTCACTTTTCAGCTCTTCTACTGTTACTGACATTTTGTTGGTGTTAGTACTTACTACTTCTCAGTTGATACTCTTTTTCTTTTTTTTAATGTTCAGTTAGCCACCATATTGATATTCTTATCTATAATGAAGGAAGCCTAACTGATCCCTGAGCCTCCCAATTCTGACTATCTCAAATTCTTGTCATTTAATCCATCCCAGCAGTGTGTATAACATGCTACAACTTATAAAATGTTTTCCTACCCACAGACTTGTCTAATGGTGCTACCCACCCTTCAAGGATGGTGCCATCTTTAATTGAGGCTCAGGAAGGTGAAGCACTTGGCCATGTTTGTCCAAAGAGTGGTGAAGCTTGGATTTGATTTCTAGTCACCTTTCCCACTGCTGCTCCATTCCCCTACCCCTCTCATCTTGGCAGATGTGAGCCTCCTCTGCAAGAAGGTTTCATACCATCAGAGTAAACAAAAGGTCAAGATTAGGATCTTGGGCTTTGTGGAGTCAGACCAGCCTGGGTTGAGATCCCAAGGGGGCATTTTACACAGCCACTTGGAAGCAAGGGCATCAGAGTGGCCACCTTTGCCTCATTGCTCTTGCTTCTGATCAACTTGTGCCTCTCCAGGCTTCGCCCTCCATCCCCAGCCTCACTTCCAGGCAAAGGCTGCATTTACTTCCTCTATTGCTTGTATTGTTATTTGAGGGTTTTGTAAGTACAACTTTATCAGAAAAAGATTTTAAAAGTCTGTTAACAGAGAAGAACAGAGAAGCCACAAATGAAAAAGCTAGCTACATAAATATGAATGACCTCATATTGAGAAAAATACCATAAATAAGACAGAAGTCAAAAACTGAGAAGATGTATTTGTGATACTTGTGAGCAGCAAATGTCCTTGATTTACAAAGACCTGGCATAATTTTTTAACAAATATTCACAAGGATAATTCAAAGAAAAGGAATATAAACACAAGGATTACTCAGTTTTAGTCTTAAAGAAATGCAGTTCAAAACCACGAGGTGCCCCTTTTCACCTAAGACTAAGTGTAGGTAAATCGTAAAATGCTGTTATTTGCTGAGATTCAGGAAACAGGTATTTGCATACATTATTAAGAGAGTAAATTGGTACAGTGCTTCTGAAGGCAACTTGATAAGAACTGGCAAATGTTATTAGATGGATGTATGTACCCTGATGTTGCAATTCCATGGAGGAATCTACCTTACAGATGGACTGTAAGTATGTGAAGATGTTCAGTTATACACTCCAGCTATTTAACGGTAACACAAAGCAATGTAAATGTTCATTATTAGAGTACTGGTTACGTAATGATGGCACATCTGTACTGTGAATGAAAAAGTGTGCATTTCAAAGAATGAGGTCGGTAAGTATGTGCTGAAATGGGAAACTCTCCAAAATACTGGGTGAAAAAAAAAATCAAGATGCATACTAAGTATGTATATCATTATCCCGTTTGTGTAAAAAATGTTGGCATGATACGCCTTTGGGGAGAAGAGTCAGGAGAGTGGAGAACTTCACTTTTTGTTTTATATTTTTCCATACTGTTTGAATCCTTACTATGCATATTTTAATTTCATATTTTTAAAATGTTTCTTAGAACTGGATTAGCCTCTAAAGATGTGTTCTTTGTCCCCCCAAACCATCTTAAAAGGAGTTCAGAGTTATTTAGATATGTGAGTATATGTGCATAATATATATTCTTATATATACAATGAAAATTTCTGGAAGAGTGTGTAAGTTAAGAGTGGCCATCTCAAAAAAAAAAAAAACCAATAAATTAAAAATAAAAACAGAAGCCAGTAGTCATCTCTGGGGAGACAAACTGGAGTTGAAAGCTGTTTTGGTGACCACCTAACCTCGTCTGCCAAGGACTGATAGTTATCGGGATGTGGGACAGCCTTGGGATGACAGGGTCACCCTTCTTTTTTCTTTTCTTTTCTTTTTTTTAAGATTTTTTTTAAAGATTTTATTTATTTGAGAAAGAGTGAACACGAGTGCTTGGGGCAGGTGTGGCAGAGGGCAGAGGGAGAAGCATACTCCCTGTGGAGCAGGGAGTGCAGTGTGGGACTCAATCCCAGAACCCTGGGATCATGACCTGAGCCGAAGGAAGCGGCTTAATCCACTGAGCCACCCAGGTACTCGACCGTATTTCTGATTTTTACCTTATGTCTTTACTCTTCTGTTTGTTTTGCTTGTCATAAATATGTATTATTATTTAGGTAACTAACTAATAAACTGATTTCTCACCAAAGAAAAGTATAAACTATATAGATAAGGTCTATGTGTATATGCTGAAAACATACATTTTTTTTCCTGAATGTGTGGATATATATACCATTGACTCCCTAGTCTTGGTGGTTTATCCACTAGAGAACAGCCAACTACCACACCATCCCCCGCAACACTCACCCCATCCAGGAACCCTCTCATTCTCAGCACCCAGTAACTCTGCTAGAAATTAAGGATTGGGATTAGTGAATTTACAACTAATTTTTGGTAAGCTAGTGTCTTGGTATATAAAGCTACTTTTAAGTACTGAAATACTAGTAATTATATTAGTAGAATACCATTGTTTCAGTATATTCAGAAATCTGAATCCTCTTGCATTCAGTTTATGCAAAAAGACAAACCCTATAGTCCACAAGTTTTGCTAGATAGTGCCCACCCCCTCCCCATGGAAGTAGTCAGCCATACACTTCCTTGAGACACTCAGAGTTTTATGTTGGTTTAAAGACTTTTTGCTCAGGTGTAGTAGAAACCTGGCAGCATTAAAATGGTCTAGGTAACAGCATCAGATTCTGTTTGTATGTGATGAGGAAAAAAGAAAGACAAAACAAATGCTTTCTTTTAGACCAAACTCACTCTTAATTTTTAAAAGTTACAATCCTTACCGTCAAAGAAGACCTCAAAGTTAGGACAAGAAAGATTATTTAAATTTAAGGGAGACAGAAAGATTCCTTTCTTAAATAAAAGACCTTTTTTTGTGATTAACTAAAACACCTTTATCTGTTTTTAATATGTGGCTAACAGTTTTATAAACATATCTTTGTTTTGTAACATGTTTATAAATTCTTTGTGTTAGAAATGGATTTGACATTTAGTTTGAGGTTAATATTCTGCACTCTTTAGAATATCAGTTTTTACATTATATTTTGTATCATGCAAAATAAAAGCCCAAATACCAGTATTGTCTTTTTTTCTGGTATTGCAATCACTTTTTTGTGACCTTGATTGAGCAAGTCACTTAATCTTTCTGGGTCTGTTACATCACAAATACAACAAGGGTAATCAGCTCAGCTGGACTCTAATTGAGAGACATTTAAAGTACATAGGATCATGGGGCACCTGGGTGGCTCAGTGGGTTAAGCCTCTGCTTTCAGCTCAGGTCATGATCCCAGGGTCCTGGGATCGAGCCCCACATCAGGCTCTCTGCTCAGCAGGGAACCTGCTTCCCTTCCTCTCTCTCTCTCTCTGCCTGCCTCTCTGCCTACTTGTGAGCTTTCTCTGTCAAATAAATAAAAAAAATCTTAAAAAAAAAAAAAAGTACATAGGATCATGTCTGATGGGTAGGACGTGCTCCATACGGGCTAAGTCAGTGTTTATTATAAATTATAAGACCTAGCTCCATTTAAAGCTGCTTTCATATGGAAACTTGGGACATCCCTCTCTGTCTTGGAGTAGTGAGAAGCCCGAAGTTAGAGGCTCCCAGGTCCTTGGAGACCCCCATCAGCCAGATCCTGGCCTGTCTCCTGCAGGCTCTGGACTTGGCAGCTAGTTGGTAGGGCTACACATACGCTGGGTCCTAACACGTTTTATATGATGTACTTCAGGAATTTCACCACCCCGCAGTATGGTTGGAAAGATAAGCTGGTAGTTCTTTATCTGCTTAGAATGTTGCTTTCTTAGTTTGGGGGACATTTTATTACAGTACTGTCCAATGTAGAGGGCAATAGCCACATGTCCCTATTAGCATCTGAAATGGGAAAGTGTAACTGAGAAACTAAATGTTTTATTTTTAAGTAATCTGAATTTAAATTTAAGTCTGGATGAGTGGGTCTTGTGTGGCCCCTTGGAACATAGCCCTGGCCGCCCCAGAGGTGAGTGTCCTCCAACCCCTGTCTGCTGCCCATGACCCAGGCCCTCCCTCCTGTGCTGGGCTGTAGCCACACCTGGGGCAAGATCTCCTGGGCCAATTCCAGTGCCCGATGGTAGGCGGCGTTGCCCTCCTCATTCTGGGAAACAGCGTGATTCACCAGCCCCAGGGCTTGGGCCTGTGCACCACTCAGTCTTCGGCCTGTGAAGATGAGCTCCTTTGCCAGGGCCACTCCCAGGCATCGAGGCAGCCTCTGAGTCCCTCCTGCCGGGATGGAACAGGGTTAGTAAATCCACATGAGAAGTGGGAGCCCAGAGAAGCCCAGTTTGGGAGTCAACCAGGACTACTCAGAGGAGCAGATTTCTGAGTTAGGATGGAAGGGCAGAGCCCAGAGCACAATGCAAAAAAGGAAAGCAGGGAAGTAACCTAGAGAGAGTGGGGATTAAGTAAGAGAAGGATGGGTGCAGTAGGTAGTTACCTGCTCCAGGGAGGAGCCCTCGGGTGGTCTCGATCAGTCCCATGACGGCTGAGGAAGCTGCTTAAACAGAACAGAGTGAAGCACGGCACGCTCTCCTGCAGTGCCAGTCCCCAGAGGGAAGAGACACCTGCCTCTAAGCTCTGCTCACCCACCAGCCAACCGCTTCCCTCATGAGGTGGCCACAGCAGACCTCTCCAGACTCTGCCTTGGGAAGAGCCCTTGGGAAGTCAGGAGGCTCAGACCCTCATCCTGCTTCTCCCAGGGGTGGAGGTGCCCATCCAGGCAAGTCTCACCCTGAGCCTCATTCACTGATTATATATATATATATGTATACACACACACACACACACATACACACACACATACATACATACATACAGTTCCCCCTCTTCTGCCTTCATCAGAGAGCTGCTAAGGATCAAATGAGGTAATGGTTCTTGTAACAGGAAGGGATTCTTGGAAGGTGCCCAGTGCCTATTTGTGGTTTAATGGATTCTCTGTCTCATTGAACCCTTGACTCTGGCCTGGGCTAGAGCATCAATGACTCCTGCTCCCACCACTGTTACTCCCCTTGGCTTTTCATCAGGCTGAAATTTCCCTGTGTTCAAGCCACATCTCCTGTATTCCCTCACAGGCCATCTGAACCATGCAGTGTGCCGCAGGGAATGGCCACTACTGCCTGTATGGGGTTTTACATTCTCCTTGCTATCTACCAAACCCTGCAAGGTAGTTGCCCTAAACATGGGCACATGAGAAGCAAGGTGGAGCCTGACCTGACTTGGTATCCTGATGCCTTCTCTTTGATAATGCATCATGTAGATACAGGCTACCTCTGTACCTGGAGGTACGTATTTCTAAATATTCTACCTGGAGTGGCAGGAGAAAGCAGTGAGGGGAAGAGAAGATAGTGGCACCACCTAGCGCCTGGACTTTTTCTAACTGTCTCCTAGAAGTGTACACCTGACCATCAAGTCAGGTTAAAGGCGATCAATTATCTCCATACCCTCCCTCCAGTCTGCAAAGGCCAACTGCTCTGAACGGGTAATGCAAACCTTGGCTGACGCCAGGGAGCCAGAGAGCAGTGTTCCTGCCCAGGCATGTTTGTGAGCAGCCAGGCAGTAGTGACCAGCTGCCCCTGTGACTGTCTCTGTGCAAAACATGACACAGAATTGGGTTGCATAGGACTAGAAAGTTGAACAATTCGTCTTTGTCCCCAGTCTCCCTTCTCTTGTTCTTCTGTCCTCTAGCCAGTTGCTCTGGGGTGGGCAAAAACATTGTAGAGATGAGGGGGTCTGGTTCTGAGAGGTGATAGGCACTACAGCAGTCAGGGCTGGGCCAGGAGGGGAACCAGCTTACACCCAAACTCTGTGATCTTCCACGTAGCCTTTAGTTTTGCTGCTGTTTGTAAAGCCCAGGGTAGTGGCTAACTTTGCAGCATCCCCAGACATAATCTGTTTTACTTACACATCCCTTCTCACCCTATCCCACCTTTCCTTCTGCCCAGTACCTGCCACTCGGAGGTCACAGGCCAGGGCAAGTTCCAGGCCTCCACCCAAGGCAAACCCATCCATAGCTGCAATCGTGGGCGCAGGGAAGGCTGCTGTGGAGATAAAGAAGGGCTCAGCCTGTGAGGCCCTAGAAGGACTGGGACAAGGACTCAAGGCTGGGGAGGGCCTATGGCCTCACTGGTCCCAGGTTTGGAACCTTACCTGGTACCTCCACCAGTTATCTTAGAAGTAGGTTTTCTTACTGGGGAAAACTGGGGTAATCAACTGGGGTACTGGAGTGAGGAGATGGGCTAGATGATCCCCACTCAGGCCCTCTTTCCCGTTGGCCTCCCTGGGACCACCAGCCTTTCTGTTCTGTGTGTCAAGCCCCCTGCTCGGTGCTAGGAACATAGAATTGAATAGACATGGGGAAGGCAGATCTATGAACAGGCAGTGATGACCCAGGGTGATCAGTACTCTGACAAAGCTTAGAGAATGGGTCAGGGAAGGCTTCCCAGTGGTCTTAAAGGGTAAGTAAAAAGTTCAGGTGGCCCAGGAGAGAAATTCCAGGCAAAAGGAACAGTAATTGTCAAAGCCTGAAAGCATGGTTGGTGAAATTTGACTCCTATGGAGTAGCTGGACTTGAACCCTGAAGGTAGAGGGGTCAGGGGTCAGAACCATTAGGATACAAAAGCTGAGAGCCAGAGCTCCCTCTGGGAGAAATGCCCTCTGAACCTCCTTTTTACCCTCCCCCTTGTAGGATTCCATGTGCTCATCCCACCTGGGAGAGTCCTCTGTCTTTCCACAGAGCTTACAACAGAAACTGTCCTTTCTTTACGGGAGAGGATGGCAGGAGGGGTAGGGCTGGGATCAGCAGGGTCCCTGAATGCCCTCCTCCAACCCACTCCAAGACCCTCACCAATCTCATTCATCAGGCCTCGGAGCCGCTGGACAAAGATCCCCACTTCTGCCTCACTCATCTGCTCCCGCTCCTTCAGGTCTGCACCTGCGGATGGTGAGGGGTTGGGGACAGCCTTTGTGAAATGACCCATTACTGAATCCCAGGCTGTTGGAGGATCCAGCAAAGGAGACTTGAGGACAAGCAGCCAGAGAAGAAGGTGAAACATCAGGAAAGCATGGTCCAGAAAGCCAGGGAGGCAAAGGTCGGGGAGGGAGGGTTGTATGTCTAAAAAGGACAGGTGCAACAACAACAACAAAAACCCTGGACATCAGAATAAAAAATTTTTGTGCCTCAAAGGACACTATCAAGAGAGCGAAAAGAGGGGGCGCCTGGGTGGCTCAGTGATTTAACCCTCTGCCTTCGGCTCAGGTCACAATCCCAGGGTCCTGGGATTGAGCCCTGCATTGGGCTCTCTACTCAGCAGGGAGCCTGTTTCCTTCTCTCTCTCCTGCCTGCCTCTCTGCCTACTTGTGATCTCTATCAAATAAATAAATAAAATTTAAAAAAAAAAAAAAGTGAAAAGATAACCCACCAAATGGAGGAAAATACTAGCAAATCCCATATCTGATAAGGTGGTAATAATCTAGGATACATTAAGAACTCCTAGAACTCAGTAACAAAACCCACAAAAGACGAGGAACTTGAATAGACATTTCTGCAAGGAAAATACGTACAGATGATCAATAAGCACAAGAAACGATGCTCAACATCATTGGTCATTAGGGAAATGCCAATAGAATCCACAAGGAGACACCAACCTCACATCATTTAGGATTACAAACAACAACAACAACAGAAAACAAGTGCTGGCAGGGGTGTGGAGGACCCCGGTGCATTGCTGCTAGGAATGGGAAATGATGCAGCTGCTATGGAAGACAACTTGAGTGCGTCCTCAAAAAGTTAGATGTAGAATTAGTATATGATCCAGCACTCCCACTCGGAAAGAATTAAAAGCAAAACTCAAGAGACTTGCCTCCCAGTACCCATAGCAGCATTATTCACAATAGCCAAAAGGTATAAACAACCAAGTGCCCATCAAGATAGATAAATAAGGGGCACCTGGGTGGCTCAGTTGTTTAAGTGTCTGCCTTCAGCTCAAGTCAGGATCCCAGGATCGAGTCCCACCTCAGGCTCCTTGCTCAGCAGGGAGTCTGCTTCTTCATCTCCCTCTGCCTTCTGCTCTCCCTCTCTCTGACAAATAAATAAATAAAATCTTAAAATAACAAAAACACCACAATGTAGTATATATACAATGGAATATGGTTCAGCCATAAGTAGAAATGAAATTCTGCCATGCTACACCATGGATGAACCTTGAGGACATTATGCTAAGTAAAAGAACCCAGACACAAGGACCAAATGTATGATTCTGCTTGTATGAGGTAACTAGGATAGGCAAATTATTAGAGAGAGAGAATACAACAGAGATTATCAGGGCCTGGTAGGGGAAGGAGGAATGGGGAAGAACTGCTTAATGAGTACAGAATTTGGGATGATGAAAAATTTCTTGAACTGGACGGTGGCGATAGTTGCACGGCCTTGTGACTCAGATAATTGCACCACACTATACTCAGTGTTACTTATACTCAGTGTTACTTAATTTTATACTTAAAAATGGTTAAAATGTAAACTCTGTGTAATGTGTATATTTACCACAATTTTAAATGTATAATATTTAAAATATATTATTTCTTTCCAGTTTTATTGAGAAACAGTTGACATTGATTATTTTTTAACAGGAGGGGACAGTGTGGTCCAAGGAGACTGAGCGGTCAGGTAAGATGAGAACTGAGAAGCGAGGGCAGGAAACAGTGGCATGGAGGTGGGCAAGGACCTTGGTCAGAGTAGTGTCATCTAAGGCCAGATGGCAGAGGCCTGGAGGTAGGAGTAGGAGGTGAATATATTCTCTTCAAGCCTGAGACTAAGAAGTCAGAGCTGAGAGCCCTTGCAAGTCTTTGATTAGTTCCAACCCCTAATGACAGATGGAGAAACTGAGGTGCAGGGAGGGGTAGGGGTGATCTCAGGATTCCAGAGCAAGTCAGGAACAGACCCAGATCTCCTACAGTGCCCCACAGCCTCTTCCCACCTCCCCACTGACCACTGTTGTCCCTTCCCCAATCATCCCAGAGTGGGTTCTTAGCTCAGTCCAGCATATCTCTCACTCACTTGCTTCTTGTGGGATGGGATGTTTCTAGTCTTTGAGACAGAAGTTCATGGTGCTTGTCCTCTTGTGAGGACCAAACCGTCAAGGGGCAGTGGAGAGCTATGGTGACAGGGACTGAGATCCTGTGGATGGGCAAAGGGGCACAGAGTCCTATCTTGGCCACAGACCTTGTGAATGTCACTGGACTCGGTTTCTTCATTTCCTCAGTGAAGGGTCAGAACAAAGCATGGTGTAGCAGAAAGAACAAGGATTTGGGGATCAGAGGGGCCAAGTTAAAATTCTGTTTTACCTCTTACTAGCTGTGTAATACTAGGCAAGAATTTTACCTCTTTTGAGTTTTTGAGTTCACATCTGAAAAACGGGAATAATAAGTCCTATGCTAGAGCTGACCTCAGCCCTCGACCCCCTGTAGGCTGGGGGTATCCTGATGAGCCCAGAGGGAGGGGTACGGGCAGGGGAGGAAACCCACCTGCACAGAACACACCCTTCACTCCACTTCTGAAGAGCAGAACACGCACTTGCTGGTCCTCCCGCAGCTGGGCCAGAGCTTCCAGCAGCTGCAGAGGAGACCTTGTCAGATACCCCCCAGCCCAGCCCCAGCCCAACACCCCCGCCCCACCCTGGTGTCTGCCCTTTCTCACCTGGCTGACCAAGACGTTCCCCAAAGCATTGCGGGCACTCGGTCTGTTCATCAGAATCTCAGTGATTCCTGCAAGTGACAGGGTAGCCTTGGGTGAGCCAGTAGGCCTGCTCACTCCTGGGCTGGGGTCTGGAGGCAGCAGCCTGGGTTCTGGGCAACCTCTACTCTTCATGAGCACTGGGACTTGGGGCAAATCACACACACCCATGCTTCAGTTTCCCTGACGATAAAATGTAGAGAATAACTGCTTGTTTCTTCTGCTTCACAGAAGTGGAAGAGCTTGTAAACCCATGGCTCAGTCTTTCTCCTGTACCCTTTGTTAGCAAATGATCTGTCAACCCAGAAGGCTGTCCTGCTGCTCCCTCTTCCTCACCTATGCAATTTACTCAGTCTCCCTGAACAATTCAACCTCTTAAACAGATCTCAGACCTTTCAGCTGATACCCTCCCTGCAGCCAGTAACCTGATATGGGCTCTCTCCTCTACTACATGAGTTGCCCAACTGGCCCTCTTGCCTTCAGTCTTGCTCTTCCTTCCGACTCCACATTCATTCCCTCATTTGGGTCCAAATCCTCTTTCTAACCCAAATCCAACCACGTCCCTCCCTTTCCCTTCTCACCAAAATTAAGTCAAATTCCTTAATATCACCCAAAAGATGCCCCCCTTCCCCAATCTGGCCATTGCTTCCTACTCTAGCCTCAACCCACCCCCACAATCTGGGCCAGTTGTAGAGAAAAGAGACCAGCTCTGGGAATGGGCTCAAATACTCTAATACCTTCTTGGCTGTTTTCCCTCTCGTGTTTACCTATCCTTTAGTCTTCAAAGTCCTCTCATTATTTCATTCCAGGGTTCTTAGCCTTGTCTGTGGAGCAAGCCCTATTTATTAAGATGGCTTTCTCAGTGTGAGTTGATCTATAACACAGGGAAGGAACAATGAAAGTTTCAGGGCTCTCAAGGGACAGAGTTTCCAGCCAGGAGTTAGAGAACTGTGGTTCAGGACAGAAAACCATAACATTTCAGATTAGGTGGCCTCCTTAGCCTCCTTGGAAACCTTCAAAAAGTTCTTTGAGCCCAGCAGGCCTCTGGAAGTTCCACAGAACTCAGATGTGCCCAAGGTCTTCTCCAGCTCTAGTGCTCCAGGAGAGAAAATGCTGCAACTTTAAGGAAGAAAAACTCTAGCAGATAAAGAAAAACCGCACTGGAGTGTAGCAGTCCAAGGTCTTTGTGGCAGACAGACCCTAGACTGGGCCCCATCTTCATAGCCTCAATAATCTCCTTCCCTGGAGTGTGGGCAAGGCCTGTGAATTGCTTTTAACCAACAGAATGCAGCTAAGATCATAAAATGTCACTTCCAAGACTGCGGTTCAATTATATGGCACCGGTGATAAGGTGTTAGTTCCATCATTAGGCTACAATGTATACATAAGACTCTGTCTTGCTAGGGCACACTAGCCAAACTAGTGGGCCTATAGAGAGGGTCATGTGGCAAGCAACTAGAGGCAGCCCCCAGGAGCTGAGAATGGCCCCCAAGCCAAGAGGAAGAAAACAGGGCTTCAGTCGTACAACCATAGGAGGTGAATTTTATCAACAGAAGCAGCTTGGAAGTAGATCTCTCCTTAGTCAAGCCTATGATGAGACCACAGCCCTGGCCAACTCCCGGGATTGCAACTCAGTAAAACCCTGAAGCAGAGAACGCTGCCCAATTGTGCTTGCACTTCTGACCTCCAGAAGCTATAAGACAATAAATGTGTGTTATTTTAAGCAGTAAAGCTTGAGGTAATTTGTTATGTGGCAATAGAAAACTAACACAGTCACGACATCTTGAGATTGGTAGAAACTTTCCTCTCTCCTCTTCACTTTCCTGTTCTGTCTCCTTTCTTACTGGCTGAATGTCTCCCATATTTCATCTCTATCCCTTCTCTCCATTTTTATCTCCTTCTTCAGAAGATAAATAGGGTGCTTGGCTCAAGTCACAGCTTAGCCATTGACCTTGGGCAAGTTGGTTTACTCTTCTGGCCTTCAATTTCCAGATCCATAAAAAGAAATTATAAAAAGGTTGTTATGAGGATTTAAGGCGATAATGCTTGGGCCACCTGGCTAGCTCAGTTGCTAGAGCATGTGACTCTTACTTAATCTTGGGGTTCTAAGTTCAAACCCTATGCTGGGTGTACAGAGTATTTAAAAATAAAATCTAAAAAAAAAAAAAAAAAAAAAAAAAGATGATGCCCATAAGTGCTTAGCCAGAGTTTATGGGTATGGTGAACAGAAAAAAGGCATAGATGCTAGGGAAAATTCCAGGATTCGAGAGAAGGAAAGAACTTCAAGCTGGGTGCTATGAGGAGCCAGACAGGGTGTCTTTGGCTTTCATTCAGTTTGTACTCCGACATGTCAAATCCTGGAGAAATAAGAGAACTCAGCCATGGTCCTGAAGCTTTTCGTTGAGCTCTGATTCCGAGAACATTGCCCTTGTGGGACCTCTGCAGTGTGGTAGGTCTGTATCACACCGTCTCCGATCTTACCAAATCCACAAGCCACTGGTTGATAATTGCCTTAGCAGCTGACCTTAGCTCACTTCTATCTGGATGGCCTCCATCTCAGCTCAGGTAATATAGGTGGGAGTGGTAGGGACCAAGGGCAGGCTGCTTTGGGTCACTTTGGCATGAAGATTATTTGAGTTAAAAAACAGTCAAACCCAATAAATTCAGGAAAAGTTCTTTACCTCTCCCTCCCCAACAACTGCCCAGATACAGGATCTGATCTAGGAAGAGAGTTATCACCATAAATAACTACATTTTACTATGAACTACGTATGGTAGACTGGGAGGAACCTAGCAAGACCTGGTTTGTTATTGTTGTTATTATTGTTTAAGATTTATTTATTTATTACAAAGATTTTACTTATTTATTTGACAGAGAGAGAGAGAGAGAGAGAGAGATCGCAAGTAGGCAGAGAGGCAGGCAGAGAGAGAGGAGGAAGCAGGCTCCCTGCGGAGCAGAGAGCCCGATTCGGGGCTCGATCCCAGGACCCTGGGACCATTACCTGAGCTGAAGGCAGAGGCTTTAACCCACTGAGCCACCCAGACGCCCTGTTTAAGATTTATTTACTTGAGGGGCACCTGGGTGGCTCAGTCGGTTAAACCGACTGCCTTTTTTTTTTTTTTTTAAAGATTTTATTTATTTGACAGAGATCACAAGTAGACAGAAAGGCAGCCAGAGAGAGAGAGAGAGAGAGGGAAGCAGGCTTCCTGTTGAGCAGAGAGCCCGATTCGGGACTCGATCCCAGGACCCTGAGATCATGACCTGAGCCGAAGGCAGCAGCTCAACCCACTGAACCACCCAGGCGCCCAAACCGACTGCCTTTGGCTCAGGTCATAGTCCCAGGTCCTGGGATGGAGCCCAAAGTTTGGCTCCCTGCTCAGTGGGGAGTCTGCTTCTCCCTCTTTCTCTGCTCCTTCCCCCAACTTATGCTCACTCTCTCGCTCTCTCAAATAAATAAATAAAAATTTTTCAAAAAAAAAAAAGGTTTATTTATTTGAGAGAGAGGAGAACTCAAGAGAGCAAGTAGAGGGTAAGGGGCAAAGGGAGAGAGAGAAAGACTTAAGCATACTCCTTGCTGAGTGCTGAGCCTGAGCTGCAACCAAGACTCAGAAGTTTAACCCCTTAACTGACTGTGCCACCCAGGCACCCTATGGCCTGTTTGATCAAAGTCCTCTATGTCCCATTGTTTCTGGGTGGCCCAGCGAACATTTGTTTAGCAAACATTTACTCCTTTTCATCTTTTTTGTGAATTATATTCCTTCCCTCTGAAGTCCCAGACCCCTACCTCTTCTCCTTAGTTCAGAGTGACTTATGTATCTCATTTTGCCTGTTTTTGGAATTTCCATGTCTGTATGAATTCCCTGTACATACAGAATTAAATTTGATTTTCTCCTGTTAATCCATTTCATGTCAATTTGATTCTTAGTCCAGCCAGAAAGACCTTGAAGAGGACAGAAAATTCTTGCTCCCTGGAAGAGTCAATAGAAAGCACACTGTAAGGGGTGCCAGGGTGGTTCAGTCAGCTAAGCATCTGACTTCTGCTCAGTCTCAGGGTCCTGGGATGGAGCCCCACGTTGGGCTTCCTGCTCAATGGGGAGTCTGCTTCTCCCTCTCCCTCTGCCCCTACCCCTTGCTTGTGTGCACGCGTGTGCGCTCTCTCTCTCGCAAATAAATAAAATCATTTATTTTTTTAAGAACTTTTTTTAAAAGATTTTATTTATTTATTTGACAGACAGAGATCACAAGCAGGCAGAGAGGCAGGCAGGGGGGATGGGGAAAGCAGGCTTCCCACTGAGCAGAGAGCCTGATGGGGGGCTCAATCCCAGGACCCTGGGATCATGATCTGGGCGGAAGGCAGAGGCTTAACCCACTGAGCCACCCAGGCACCCCAAATAAAATCATTTAAAAAAGGAAAAAGAAAACACCGCAAGGTATTAGGGACCAAGTGGTTTTACAACCCCATACTATACAGAAAGGGAAACTGAGGCCCAGAGAAGAAGTGAATGTGCCTTATATTAACAGCCGGACTCAGCTGGCAATCCTTACTTCCACAGAGCTAACAGCCTATGAGAGAGTCCAGTCCAGATACATGGAAAGTAAAGGGATAATGGGAGGGGGAGGAGTAACTGCAGAAGGACTTATATCAGCAGAGAGGAAAGAGAATTCAAGGTGACAAAACAGAGGTGGGACGGTGTAAGATGAACCCCTGGCTCGAAGAGAGAAGATGGGAAGGTGAGGTTGTGGTGCTGAACCCTGCGCACCCAGCTAAGGAATTGAATCAAGCCATAAGAAGAGCCAAGAGTGGTTAAAAATCTAATCCCATTTTCTTTCCTTTTTTTTTTAAAGATTTTCTTTATATATTTGACAGAGAGAGACACAAGTCAGAGAGGGAACACAAGCAGGGGGAATGGGAAAGGGAGAAGCAGGCTTCCCGCTGAGCATATGGGACTGGATCTCAGGACGCTGGGCCCACGACTGAGCCAAAGGCAGATGCTTGAGGACTGAGCCACCCAGGCGCCCCAACTGATCCTA